AGCACCAAACCCATGCTCCAGCGCCACCACCGCGCCCTGTCCATGTAACAGACTCCACTTCCTGCCACCACACGCCCACGTGTCCCCACTCCCACATTCAAGGCCCACACACCCTCCTCCACTTCCCACTTCCCCTTGGCGGCCCTCAAAGGACCCAGGGCCTCAGCTCGGCCTCCCCGGGAGTCTTCACAGGCTCCTGCACACCGCGGATCAGCACCAAGCCCATCATCCCGGCTCCTACACGACCCTCGCTGCTCTGTCAAGGCATCACGGGAAGAACTTTTCTTTACCCCGGGTCTCTTTCCGTGCCTGAGAAAACTGCTTTCCCACACATCACTAGGCCCAGCGCTACAAGCACCCAGACCCGCGCGGCCCACACTGACCTCACACAGACACACATGTCCCGCCCTCATGCAGACCCATGTGGCCCCACCATCACCCAGACCCAAGCACCCTGCACTCATGCCAGCCCATGTGGCCCCACCATCACCCAGACCCAAGTACCCTGCACGCATGCCAACCCACGTGGCCCTACCATCACCCAGACCCAAGCGACCTGCACTCACGCAGACCCACGTGGCCCCACCATCACCCAGACCCAAGCACCCTGCGCTCAGGGCAACCCTCGCGGCCCCACTATCACCCAGACCCAAGTGGCCTGCACTCAGGGCAACCCACACAGCCCCGCCCTCAGGCAGACACACCCGGCCCCGCCCACATGCAAGCAAAAGCAGCCCCGCCCTCACACACCCCCACGCAGTCCCACCCTCACACACACACACACACACACACACACACACACACACACACACGCAGCCCCGTCCTCACACCATCACACACACTCCCGCCCCACCCTCATGCGGACCCACGCAGCCCAACCCTCACACACACGCAGTCCAGCCCTCACACTGAGACACTCAGTCCCATCCTATCCTCATGCAGACCCAAGCGGCCTGCACTCACACAGACCCACACAGCCCTGCCATCACCCAGACACACGCAGTCCCGCCCTCACACTGACAAGTGCAAGCTCGGCTCTCACGCTGACACAGGCAGTCCTGCCCAGCCCTCACGTAGACCCACACGGTCCTGTCCACCTTCATGAGGCCCCACCCACTCATACACCTGCACCACCCAGGCAACTTCACCTCTGGTGGTGGCGCACTGGCCTCCAGTGCAGCTGCGGGTGGCATGGCAGTGGGCAGTCCCTGCAGTGGTGACTACCCTCATTTTCAAAGTCCCCAACAAAAGCCTGGAGAGGCCTTGGACCACTGCAGCTGTAGTGGGTATGGAAAGTTGAAACCTGACTCTCCACTAGCCTCTCCCTAGACCTGCCCTTTTGAGGGGTCTCTTGCAGGCAGAGCCCTGGGAGTGGCTCTCCCAGGAAGAGGTGCTTTCACCCTAGTCCTAGAGGCAGTGATGTAGATCAGCCTCCTCCACTCTCCACAGCCGCTGGTCAGGGACGCTAGGGTGCTGGGCCTGTGTTCATGGCTTGGCAGCCTCGTGCAATGAGGCTGTTGATGGGCACATGGGGGTGCTGGGCCTGGGCTGCCCAGCAGGACTGCGGGGACATGCACTGGGGTGCTAGACCTGTGGTCACTGCTGGGCGGTTGCCTCTTACCAAGACTGGGGGCACATGGATGAGGTGGGTGTTGGGCCTGGGCAGCCTCTTTCGGTGGGGTTGCGGGGACGGACATGAGGGGGTGCTGGGCCTGTGGCCATGGCTGGGCAGTCGCCTCCGGTGAGACTGCAGGGGTGTGGATTATAATTCCCAGTAGGAACTATCTTGCTTGCCTTCCATGCCTGCATTTTGGTGGGGCAGCCCAGGAGCTCTGTGCCTGGGAAGCCAGGCATGCAGCTGTGGGGTCCCTTGTGGGGTCATGGCAGGCTTCCCTGGCATAGAGGAAGCTGCAGGCCACCCCCACTCAGGGAAGAGGCATGCAGATCCTCAAGGGAGCTCTGTGCTGCTTACAGGGGCATTGACTTCGGCTTTCCTAGGTGTGGTTCTGGCGCCCAGGGGTGAGATGGGAAGGGTGGCCAAGAGCCAGGCCAGTTGGACTCCCAGCACCCACGTGGAAGACCCGGAAGTGCTTGGCTCTGGATCAGCTGGCTTTGACTTTTACGACCACTGGGGAATGAATCAGCTGACAGAAAATCTTTCTCACTTTGTCTCCTTCCTGTAAATCTGCCTTTGCAATAAAGAATAAATATCTTTTAAGATGTCCTGAGAATATACTGGTCTTACTTGTGTTAAAAAGAGAAACTGAAAGAAGTAAATACATTTCGAGTGAATACTATCATCCATTGTTTCTTAAATCACAGAAATCTCATTAACATTCTAAGACAGATCTTTCCTCTTTCATCTTCACCCTGATGGTTTACCAAATCATTTTCAATCTGCCACGATTTTGCCTTTTTTTGTTACAGATCTATTTTAAACTGAAAACTAATAGCTAAATATGTGTGTGTGAGTGTATGTATTATATATATATAATTGTGAATTTTATACTTTTTAAGCTGCGTATATTATGCACTGATCAAAACAGTATAGCTAGCAGATCACATCACATATGATGTGGCTTTTGGGGTCCTGCAGGGAGCACAGCCCTCAGCAACTCCTGTGTGCCCATATCCTGCAAGGAGCACAGTCCCCAGCAATTCCGCCATGCCCCGTCCCCAGCCTTGCAGGGAGCACAGCCGTCAGTGATTCCTGCGTGCCCCAGTTGTACAGGGAACACAGCTCCCAGCTCCACCATGCCCCAGTCCACAGCCCTAGAGGGAGCACACCCCCAGTACCTCATTTGTGCCCCTGTCCCAGGTCCTGAAGTGAGCACAATCCCCGGTGACAACTTTGTGCCCCTGTCCCTGGCCCAGCAGGGAGCATGGGCCCCAATCCTGCAGGGAGCACAGCCGCCAGTGATTACTTTGTGCCCCTGACTTCTGGCTTGCAGGGAGGGTGACTGCATCAGGCCATTGACTTTGCAGAGGTCCCATAGCCCTCCTCCTCCCACCTTATGCCTGTGCCCACCCATAGTCCTGAGAGTTCTAGGGCAGGGATTTTTTCCCACCCCTTGGTTATCCAGCTCCCCTTATCTGTTACTCCGCCAGATTCAAGTCCCTCCATTGACATTCCCAGCCAGCAGCAAGCTGATCTCATGCTGGGAATCTGCTGAGTTTTCATTGGCATGCAACACATCAGCCTCCATTGTTGTGCCAGGGTGTGTGTGTGTTTGTGTGTGAGATATTGTGGTGTGGGGGCACTGTGGTGCCAGGGTGTGTTGTGTGTGTTCAAGGCACTCTGGTGCCAGGCTCTCTGTGTGTGTGAGGCTTTGTGGTTCCAGCGTATGTGTGGGGTGCAGGCATTGTGGTGCAAGGGTTTGTGTGTGTCTCTCTGTTTCTGTATGTGTGTTCAAGGCATTGTGGTGCCAGAGTGTGTGTTGTGTGTGTAGCAGGCTGTGGTGGCATGGTGTGTGATTGTGTTTATAGGCATTGTGGTGGCATGGTGTGTGTGTGTGTGTCCCTGTGGTGCCAGTGTGTGTGTGTTAGAGTTACTGTGGCCCCAGGGTGAGTGTGGGGATGAGCAGGCATTTTTGTGCCAGGGAGTGTATGTGTGTCTGTGCATAGCAGGCAGTGACAACGAGGGTATGTATGTGTGTATGTGTGTACGTGTGTGGGGGACATCGTGGTACCAGGGTGTGTGTGTACACGCACGTGTGTGTGTGAGAGAGAGAGAGATAGAGATTTAGGGGCATTGTTGTGCCCGGGTATGTGTGTCTCACTGTGTGTCTTTGTATGTGTGCTTGAGGCATTCTGGTGCCAGAGTATGTGTGTGTTTGTAGCAGGCATTGTGGGGCCAGGTTGTGTGTGTGTGAGAGAGAGAGAAAGAGAGAAAGAGAGAGAGAGAGAGATTGTGATTTGGTGGCACTGTTGTGCCAGGGCATATGTATATCTCTGTGTATTTGTGTATGTGCATTCAAGACATTGTGATGCCAGGGAGTGTGTTCGCATCTGTGTATCTTACTATGTGTGTGTGTGAGGCATTGTAGTGCCATGGTGTGAATGTGTGTGTGGCATTGTGGTTCCAGGGTATGTGGGGGAGGAGCAGGCATTGTGGTGCCAGGGTGTTTGTGTAAGTCTGTGTGCAGTAGGCATTGTCGAACCAGGGTGTACGTGTGTGGTGGGGGCATTGTGCTGCCAGGGTGTGTTGTGTGTGAGTGTTCAAGGCATTGTGGTGCCAGGCTGTGTGTGTGAGGCTTTGTGATGCCAATGTGTATGTGTGTGTATGGCTGGCATTGTGGGGCCAGTGTGTGTGTGTGGCTGTGTGTGTGTGTGTGGCATTGTGTTGCCACTGTGTGGGGGGGGAGCACAGGTATCTTGGTTTCAGGATGTGTGGGTGGCAGGCATTATGTTGCCAGGGTGTGTTTGCAGCAGTTTGTGATGCCAGGGTTTGTTTATTGCATTGTGTTGCTGGTGTGTGTGTGGCATTGTGGTGCCAGGTTTTTGGGTGTGTGCCTGTGTCTGTGTGTGAATGTGACAGACACTGTGGTGCGTGTGGGTGAGTGTGTGTGTGTGAGTGTGAGTTTGCCAGGAATTGTGGTGCCAGGACTAAGCCACTGACTGTGATACCCATATCCCATGCTGGCATGCCTGGGGCGCAGTCCCAGCTCTACCTATGAACCTGCTTTTTGCTATTGCACACAGTGGGATGTAGCAGGTGATGGCTAGGTACTGTGGGCCCTGCCACCCACATGGGGCACCAGAATGGAGTTCCAGGCTCCTGGCTCTGACCTGGTCCAGACCTGGCATTTCATTTGAGGAATCAAAAGGCTGTATATGCTTCTCTTGCTCTTTCAAATAAATAAATTAAACCAAATTTAAAAAAAGCAAGTTTCCAAAGAAAAACATACAGTACATCTTAGACTTTGAATGTTTGCGTGCCTTCTGAAATTGATGTTGAAATTTAATAGTTAATGTGATAGAGCATGAGGAATTTTACCCACCTGGGTGAGAGTAATATGCTGTGTAAAAAGGATTCATGAGGTTGACATCATGGCTCAATCGGCTCATCTTCCACCTTCAATCGCTGACACCCCATTTGGGCATTTATTGGTGTTCGGGCTGTCCACTTCTTATACATCTCCTCGCTCAAGGCCTGAGAAAGCAACAGAGGAATGCCTAAGTCCTTGGGACCCTGAGCCCATGTGAGAAACTGGGAAGAAACTCCTAGCTCCTGGCTTCAGATCAGCCTATCTCCAGTTATTGAGCAAATACGGAGTGAACCAGGGATTTAAAGATCTGTCCCTCTATGTCTCTGAAAATCTAACTTTCTAATAAAAACAAGTAAATTTTTACCAAGAGAGGGTACACTTATTGAACATTTGCACCTTTTTGCCCTCCCCACTCTTCCCATCATGGGAGCATTGGCAGCTGGGCTCTCACCAGCTGAAACCTTCATCCTGCATTTCTAGCCTTATGAACTGAGGGCAAAACAACTTGTTGTTTATACACTCCCAGTACCAGGCATTGTGTTATAGAAGCTTGAATGACTGCAACAGAATGTTACCTTCTGTTATATGAAAGGAAACAAACAAGAATATTAACTTGTATCGCTTGTATTTACATAAATAAGCAATGGAGGAAACATAAGAAAATGATAAAAATGTTTTTAGAAATGGGATCTGCTAATTAGGAAGATTAAAAAAAAGATTAAAGCTACACCTGACAAGGCATGATTTATTAGATATTAAAAGATAGTACTAATGTATTTACTAAAACAAAATAATTAATAAAACATATATAGTATGAATAGTTTTGAAAGAATCCAGAGGTTCAAGCCTGGAAGAAGATGGAGTAAAAGATTCGTGGTACTCATTTCTGTGATTTTTGTCTCTTTACTTCTTCATAATTTTCATTCTCATTGCTTACCTGCATGTATTTTCTCTGCTTCATACAATAAATTTGCATTATCTCTGCAGTTTTCAACATTTGAAACAACCTGTCATAACACTTCCCAAATTACTGGGAAATAGTTTATGTAACGGCATAAGCATTTCAGCCACTTCAGGAGCGCTCTGAGTCCCTGAACTCCCGGGGAAATTCTCTTTTCCTGTAACCTATTGAAGCATACCATCAGAACCAAACTCTCAGTATTTACAGTTAAAAGGCAAACTGCTCAAACTACAAAAAGCTTTGCTTAAGTTAATGACAATGTATAATCTGTATTTTTTAAGTAAAATATGCTACTAAGATCTAGTGAATGAACAAAATGATACACCATACACCACTAACATAATTTTTGTGTCAAGAAATCCCCCTAAATATCTAGTTTAACTGACTGACTTCTCCAAAATGATTTTTATGGGTAATGCATCTTTTCTGTTTCAACACATTTGGATTCTCTTCTAATGCATGCCCACACATAAAGAAGTATGAAACTGGGCCCGGCACAATGGCGCAGTCGTTAAGGTCCTCGCCGTGCATGCCCAGAATCCCATATGGGTGCCGGTTCTAATCCTGGCAGCCCCGCTTCCCATCCAGCTCCCTGCTTGTGGCCCAGAAAAGCAGTCGAGCACAGCCCAAAGCTTTGGGTCCCTGCACCAGTTTGGGAGACCTGGAAGAAGCTCCTGGCTTCAGATTGGCTCAGCTCCAGCCATTGTGGCCACTTGGGGAGTGAATCATTGGACGGAAGATCTTCCTCTCTGTCTCTCCTTTCTGTGTATCTGCCTTTCCAATAAAAATAAAATAAATCTTCAAAAAAAAGTATGAAACTATTTTATCAGAAATATTGATTCAAAATTTAAAACTGTTGAGAATAAATTGCTGGTATAAGAAAAGCCAGAAGGGAAAGAGTGAAGCAGGGGTTTCTGTGTAAAGAACCACCACTAAAGCATGCCAGTCCCTTGACAGTCTAATGAGAAAATACTGTGTGATCAAGTATAATTCATATCTCTGAACCTCAGCTGAGGAGAAGAAAGAACTGCATGGCACAGGATTGTCATATTTGATGTCTGTCAATAACTTTAATTCATGGCACACACATAATATCTTCTTCCTTCTCGAAAACTAAACATACTCACAAAGAAGCATTTGACCAGAAAACTCTCAAGATGGCAATCTGCAGCCTGAGGGGGTGGAGGCAGATACCATCTGGGGCAAAAAGGGACTCAGATCAAACCTGGTGAGTTGGAAATCGACCCAGGAAAGATGCTGGTGGAAGCCCTAGCCTCCACGTTAGAGACAGAGGAAAGCAGAAGGACACCTAGATCAGAACATTTGTGGCAGAAAAATTGCCTGAAGAAGAAATCACAGGCACAGACCGAAGCACCCTCTGCTAGAGGAGGGAACGCCATTGGGGAAGTGAAGCATGTGTGTCAGACACACACAGGGCAAGATCTCAGCCCACCCCCACCCAAGGGCTCTCAGACCTGAGCCACCCAGAGGGACACCAGAATCACCTGAAATGGAGATGCAGAGTCTCTCAGGGTCAGAGGTTTCAGTGACCCAGCAGTGTAAGGGCTGATTCTGAAAGTGCATGGGAGAGTGACAGCACCAAATGACCACCTGGCACAGTGCAAGGGAATTCAGCAGTGCAGGTTTAAATTCCAGGACAAAACAAATTCATATAACTCCCCACCATCGCTTGCCTGCTAGAGGCGAGGGAAGGCATGGTGTCCCCAGAACGTGTTGAGTTTAGATACTGATTGCACACTGGACAGCAGTGGCTAGGTCGTTCCTGCTCTAGGCAACTGCCCAGTGGGCAGATGCCATGAAGGTGCTGGGCGGCAGGGGGCTTGTGTACAGACCTGGAATGTGCAGGCCTTGCATTACAATGCTGTGGTCAGAGGTCACAGAAATCCTCCAGCTGCATACCTACCTGAGACTGGGAAATACCAGGGCCAAACACAGTGGAAGTACCAGTCGCCCACAAGGTGGCAGCAGCTGACAAACACCCTGATTTTCTGGCCATCCCAAGGGTCTCACAACCCCCAGATCTCTGGATAGACACAGCTGTTCCAGAACCCAAAAGGTACATCAGAGATTAAAATTTCAAAATGAAAAGAAAGCACACAGACATGAGAAGAGGCACCAGGAAAAGAAATTATTCAGATGAAGGAGCCAGTACTCTCCCCAAAAATGATCCAAAAATATCCTCAAGCTCAGAGTTGCAAGATGAAGACATCGGGGAACTAGCAGGTAAGGACTAAAACAAAATCATCATGAATCTCTTCAGGGACGATGAGAAACGCTGGGAAGAAATCAAGGAATTCAAAAAGAGCATTATCACAGAAAATAAGCTGGTCCAAAATGAAATATTAGGACCAAAAAACAATGTAGAAAGCCTGACCAACAGAATGATGGCTGCGTAACAAAGAATATCAGACATAGAAGATAACCAAAATGAATATACACAATTAATAAAATATCTGGGAGAAAATATGAACAAACCCAAGAAATCTATACAAGAAAGGAACAATGCCATCAAAAAGTTAACTATCAGAATTATAAGCATTCCAGAAGACACATAAAAGGAAATAAAATTAGAGATACCAACACACACACAGACACACACACACACACAGAGTGAACAGGGCTATATCACGACCTCTCAATACTAACTCTGAACCCAATGGCCCGAACTTATTAGTCAAAAGACACAGATTAACAGAAAGGATCAAAAAACAGGACCCAACTATCCACTGCCTATAAGAGACACACCTAATCAACAAAGATGCAAAGAAGCTGAAAGTGAGAGAGGATGGAAAAGAACATTTCACAGCACTGGAAAGGAAACAGAGCAAATGTAGCTTTTCTAATTTCAGATGCTATAGACTTCACCATGGAAGCCATTGAAGCAGATAAAAATGGACACTACATGATAAAGGAAGCCAGCAACTAAAAGGAAATAACAATAATAAATGTTTTCATGCCAATCACAAGAGCACCTAGCTATACAAATCAATTTTTGACTGACGTAACAGGAGTCATTGATGTCAATACAATAAACGTGGGAGACATTAACAGCAATATATAGATCAAGGAAACAGAAACTAAGCAAAGAAACAATAAAACTCATACAGACAACAGAACAAATGGACCTACCTCCAGGACTGCCACATGATAGGGCACAAATCAAAACTTACCAACTTGAAAACAACAGAAATCACACCATGTATCTTCTCAAACTATCAGAGTGAAGCTGGAAATCAATACATTCAAATACCCTAGGAAATTGGTAAATTCTTGGAAGAAGAACAACATGATTTAAATGAACAATGCATCACAGAAGAAATTAAAGAAGAAATCAAAAAAAATGCTTGAAACCAATGAAGACTCACATACAACATATTAAAACATGTTAGATACCACCAAGGCAGTATTAGAGGTAAATTCTTCTAAACAATAGAAGGGGAGGCAACTCTTCCAAACTCGTTCCTCATAACAAACATCATCTTTACACCTACAGACTGATATTCCTGAAGAATATTGAACCTAAGGCCATTGACAAAACACTAGCCAACAGGATGCAAAAACACATTAGATGGATTATTTATCTGGACCAAGTGGGATTCATCCTGGGCATGCAGAGATGGTTCAATGTTTGTAAATCTATAAATGTGATACATCACATCAAAAAAACAGAAGAACAAAAATCAGAATAGTTTCAATAGATGCAGAAAAAACCTTTTTACAAAATCCAACACCACTTCATGCAAAAAATGCAAATTAAGCAGACACAGAAGGAGCAATCCAAAACATAATCAAGGCAATATATGCAAAACCCAATGCCAGCATCATATTGGATAGGGAAAGATTAGAGGCCTTCCTGCTAAGATCTACAGCAGACAAGGTTGTCCACCATGACCAGGGCTATTTAACAAAGTACTGAATGTATTCACAAATGTCATCAGAGAAGAAAAAGAAATCAAAGGAATTCAAATTAGAAATGAGGAAGTTGTCTCTGTTTGCAGATGATATGATTCTATACACAAGAGAACCAAGAGACTCAATGAAGACCCTGTTAGAACTTATACAAGCATTTGGCACACTTGTGGGGTACAAAATAATGAAAAGAGGGCCTGGCAGCCTGACCTAGCAGCTAAAGTCCTTGCCTTGAACGCCCCCGGATCCCATATGGGTGCTGGTTCTA